CAGCCTGCCATCAGAGGTGGTTCAAGCACCTACTCTGAACACCTTCAAGAGCAAATCAGATGCTTATCTTGCTGGGATCCTATGACCCCAGCTGACTTCCTGCCCTTTGGGCGGCGGGCTGGATTTGATCTTCCAAGGTCCCTTCCAACCCTAATGTCTATGAAATCTATGAACTTATGGCAAATTCATTAGTCCACATAGTTATAAGGCTGAGGATAAGGGAATAACGTTCTTTGAATGGTCCTGTGTTCACACTATGTTGTTTTGCTCCTCGAGATGATCCACTGCTGGAGCCTGTTTTATTTTACCCACACTTGAGCACCAAACCCAATTACAAAACACAACCTTCTTCAAATGTCATTCATGTCAGTTTTCTTTTTAATATCCCAATGCAAAGAATAGCTTAATTCCTGTGTTTAGGTATGCCTGTGCACTGCTTACAAGGCTGGAGACGGTTGATGCATTTGCATTACTTTCTATCATAGCTCACCTGTCTCCTACCAAAACCATTCTTGGTCTCTTCTGTGTTTACCATGTGCCATATTGGCATCTATAAAGACAGACTGCCTAAGATTACTCAAATCTGATGCGATTTGGCTAACATGCCAATGCTTGCAGAATAAAGTTGGGAGGGAAATGTTTCTCTAAACAGGCCTAATGAAGCAGCACTACACATTATACAGAAGGGACTGAACTAAAAAAAAAAATATATATATATTTAAAAATAGTATCAGCCAAATGCATGCAGGCCTCAGGTGTAAGGCCGGATATCTGGATTTTTTCCTTGATTGAAGAGACACGTTCTCAAGGTCAGTTATATTGCATCTTACATGGTACATTTTGCCAGCTAGACTCTTGGCAACAAATCAGATCCTGGAAGATCACTCCTTTGGGAGACAGGTTCCCAATACCTCCCCCTCTATCCACTGCCAGCTTCAGGGACTTGGTCAGTGGGGGCAGGAGACTTGCCTGAGACACCCTTGAGTGCAAACTTCAGCTGCTATTTTGTCCCCTTTTGCCATTAACTGTTTACATTTGTTACAGCAGCCTTCAAGACAGTTCAAGATATGCTTGGGGCCTCTTTCTGCCTTCAGTAGCAGAAGGATTGGAAATAGGGACTGTGAAGGAGAACTGTAGCTGACAATCAAGCCTTATGTATTTATTTTTCTTATATGGTTCCTCCACTGGAAAATTTTACAGAGGAAGCAAGTGTGTTCCTCTGTCACACTATCAACTGGTAAGCCCACACTACTCCCCATTATAATGTAGATGTTCTCGTGACAGGACTTCAGCATCAACTTTTTTTGTTAAAACATTCATGATAGAATAAGAATCAGATTTATATATATTGCATTGCACACTACCAGAATCCATCAGGCAGGATGGTTCAGAAGGGAGCCCTGTCAAAGTCCATCAAGATTTTGGTGCTAACCTTGACAATGTCTGTTTAGCATCAGGAATACTCTGTGGCCTCTTGACTGGATGGAGATGTCATGCAAAAAAGATTCCAGTGCATGAAAGAAATACCGATGTGTCAAATCCTTAGTTTTATGAACTTTGAGCATAGCTTACATCATTTTGCCAAAATACTAAATGTCTATTACTGGCCAAGTGTCTCATGCTGCTTTAAAGACTGAACCTGTTATTATTTTCTTATAGCTAATTTGAAAATTAGCTATTTAACTATTTGTTGATAACAGATCAGAAATTGTTCCTACCCTAGAACTAGTATGCTCTATTTCTAAACCAAGGGACTAAGGAAGGGTAGAGCCTACTTTGCAATGGAAAGCCTATATATGGTATAGGCACATGGTGAGGAGGCCCGTTAGGAGGGACAAGCACAACTCTGACTGACCTCGTCTCCTACTTCATGCTGGGATGCTAGGTTTGGACGATAGCATGGACATCAGCTCATCTTCCTGAGCCAGACATTGATAGGGACTTACCGAATTTGTGATTTCATGAAATTTGGCATTGCCTGCAAAAACTGGGCAATGCCCGTGAAATCCATGGGGCGGGGAGAAAGACAACAAAAAACCCTTATTGAGCATTGCAGTGGCTCACCAGGGTGGGGCTGCCAGCACAATGGCTGCCACCCCCATCCCTTGCCTCGACTGGCTGTGAGGGCTGCCCATCATGTGGCTCTGCCCCTCTAATCAGCAGTGAGGGGCAGGACGGCATGGCAGACCACCTTTTCTGCTAATCAGCAGCGAGGGGTGGGGCCACATGACAGGCAGCCTCTGCATCCATCAACGGTGAGGGGCGTGACCATTGGGCCCCTCAGCCAGAGGCATGGGGGGCCTGCTGTGCTCTGCCCATGAGATGGCTGCCTGGGCCCGTAAAATCGGACAGCAGCCCTTGTATCAGGAAAGTCCCTAGACTTTAGTGAGAGCTGTGGTAAGAACTGCAAAGATGGGACTTGTCTCGTTGGGAGAAAGAACATAGTGAATACTCGTCTCCCAGGTGGATGGCCTCAGGAACATAACCCTGCTAGAGGGAAGTTAGAGAAGAAGGGAGCAGAGAGCCCTGCCTTAGCTCCCAGGTAGGTGGTTAGGAATCAGGTGATGAAGGAAGGACCAGAGTCTCGCTTGGACTCCACAGACACACAATCTGTGGAGCACAGAAGATGCAAGGAGTGGATAGGTTCCTGCAGAACATCATGGGTCAGAGGTAAAAGGTCCCGACTAAGATGCTGAACTTGTGCCGAAACACTTTCACTCGGGAGAGAGAAAACTGAAAACCCGAAGAAAATCAGTACGTGGAAAAGTGTCTTTGATTCAAGGATGGGTGAAGGTAGGCCACTGGTTTATATAGATCTCAAACACAGATATGCATAGCAGCAACATGCCAAGGCAATTTAGAAGTGGTTTACCACCCTCTGCTACATACACAAGTCAGGATTTTCCAATGCTCATCAACTGGGCACCCTCAGCCCAGGCAACTCACTCAGAAGAAACAGTCCCTGTCCCCAGAATTATGAAATCTAGATTAGATGGGCAATAGAGTTTAGATGCCTAATGAACCGGATGGCAGATTTGTGTTGCAGCATGGCAGGTAACATTTTCTTTTCTTTTCTAAAAAAAGCCCTCCCTTCATGGATTATTGCTCAAAGCCTCCCCAAGAGAAGTGATCCAAGTGATGGATTGGTGACTTTAGTAGGGAGACAAGGTATGCCTTATGTGAAGGTCTGCATGGAAGAATGTGCAAGGGCTAAAAACAAGGTGGGCATGAGGTTTTCTTTAATAGCATTAAAAAGAATCCCAATTCTTGACAGCAGTGTGGCAATGCAGAAATACATTCACTATTTAACTGCCAAGTTTGTTGGGTTTTTTTGTTTTTTAAATCAAGAAAGGTTTGGCCTAGCTTTTGTAGGACAATAAGTCACTTTTGCAAGTTTACCATCTGACCTTACAAGTATCCCAGGCCCTAGTATTTACAGTACATTGAACAAGCAATCTATAGTTACAAGGCTCCCAAACAGAGTGCTGTCAACAGGAATTTTATATTTCACCTGCAGAGGCAGTTGTTGTTTGGGTTTTTATTTGACAGTAACAGTTTTACAACTTGGCCCCGAGGCAGGGTCTCTCTGCAGAGCAGCCGAGGCTCATAAGACAGCATTAATAAGTGTGCTAAGTGCCCTCTTAGGAATTCCCTTTTTTTTTTTTTTAATACCTTGAATAGGTCACACCATGGATTAACTGACCAATTCTATTCTCACCTTCTCCTCCCCCACTGTCAACCCTTCTTCAGGAAAATGCTTTAGCAATTACCTTGCCTCATATTTTCTGGTAGCTTCACCTGATTTTCAAAAAGCAGAAACAGGATTTAAAAAAAAAAAAGGAAAAGAAATACATTAAAAAAATTACTTTCTCCTCATAACAAAATAGTTTTGTTGACTTACAAAAACACATATAGAACACATGTAGTGTATGAGAGGAGTGATTTTAATGGTTCAGCTACTCAAGTTTTGCAAATCTCTCATCCAAGTCTTCTGGAATTGCTTTTATATACACAATCCAATCCTGTGACTGGCAGACTGCTGTACCTATGCAGAGTGGCACTGGAGTCGATTGGACTTTACCTGGGTACAGCAATGCATCTATGAAAGCCTCTATTAGTCTCTGTATTACAGCAGCAGCAAGAAACCTCAACTGAGATAGGAGTCCCACTGTGCAAGGAGCTGTATGAACACATAGGAAGAAATTGCTCCTGTGCTGAAAAGATCACAACCTAAACAGACAAAGCCGACAAGAGTGGGAGAAAAGCAGCAGCATCTGGATATTTTCTTTCTACAAATCTCCCTCTGCAGCAGGGGCTGCGATACACCTCCAAATGGTAAAGAACTGGGCCCACAGTTATTTTGACATAATAAGCAATCAGCAATGTGGGTAGCTTGAAAGTGACAAAAAGGAGGAAAGCAATTTAATAGTGGGCTACTCACAATACTAAAACTGCCTCTCACCTTTAATTGCCCCGTGGCAGATGTTGCAATAAAAGCGCTGCACAGATCCATGTTAGCAAGATGACTCGGGCCACGTTGACAGTAAATGGCTTTAATATGTGGTTTGCAACATTTCTGACAAGAGTTAACATTTAATAAACTTGACTTCTTTAATATTTAGGGCTCTTTCATCTATAAATATCAATATTTATTTGATGAAGAAAAGCACTGCAAGGTACCCTGTTTGTTCAATGCAAAGTTTAAAGCCCATGTTTCAGTTTGAATTTAGGTTTAGGAAAAAAAAAGTTGAGTTTGCTTTCAACTATAAACCCAAAATGTCCCAAGGAAAACCTACCTTAAGAGCCTACAAAAACTTCTGCGATAGCTGAGGCGCTGACTGGCTGCAGCCACGCTGGGAGGAAATGGGGGGCGTGATGGGAAATAGGCTAGTGCTGCAGAAAATATCAGGGAGACCATTCCAAATTCTGAAAGAAAATTAAGGAGAAAACCCAGTAATAGTTAGCACTGATTTTAACACTAAAAGCACACTTTAACACAAACTAGGAGTCTAGCCTCTTTCACACAAACTGTGTCCAATGTTTTACCGAGTTCAACAGCAGAATTACACAGTTAAGATAAGAAGATGCATCGCTAAAATAAAAATAGGAAAATATTTTCAGACCAAATTTCAGAGATCAAGAAATCACCACAGTGGAGATAGACAGACAGACCACTCCCAAAGATAGACAAGTCTTTTCCTCAGCAGCTCCTAGCTAAGGTTGAAGACTGTGTGAACAGCTGGAGAAACAATTGGAGGAGAGCAGAGACAGCTGGTCTGGGAGAAAGGCTAGGGCAACTCCATTTGTGGTTTTCAAGGCAAGGAGGGTAACTTCAAATGAGCACCAAGCGAAGGACTCTGAGGTTGCTGTCCCTTTCCCTGCGTTAGATGGCATGTGTGATGTGTTCGTGTGTAAGCTGGAACAGCTGGAGCCTGGGGAAACCCTAGAGGCAAGGAATTACAGTGATCATGGCACAGGGTGATGAAGATGCAAAAAAAAGGATTCAACAAAGGTAGAATCAGGGTGACACAATATGCACGTTACCATCTATCATATGGTAAAAGACAGATCTATAAGCATAGTTAGGAAAGTATTGGATCCACTATCCTCCAAGGATAGTGAGCAGAGAAGTAGATGAGAGAACCAAGACACACAGCTGTTTGCAGCTACTGAGCTGGCTCACTAGCAAGTGTTACACCTTGGAAAAAATTTGCTATGGAAACCTGGACCAAACCTGGGAAGTAATGAGCACCTGGAAGGAGGTATCACTCAATCTAATGATCAAACATCTTGTGGGGGCAGGCAGTTTACCCCAGTCTAAATTTGTTACAGGTATTTACCATTTTGACAGCACTCTTCCTCCCTCCATGCTTAGTTTTAATACAATTGTCTTCCTACACTGTTAAAAAACAAGAGTGTTACTACAGAGAAAAAACTTTAGCCATGGATTGTGTCACCTTAAGAGCAGCTGTGAACTTATTACGAAGCAGCTCTTCACCAGTGCCACAAATACATTTCAGAAGGGTTGGGGTAGTTGATTGCTTTAACTTCCATCTAAAATCCTTAAAAAAGAAAAAGAAAAATAGAACATCAACATGGACAAGGCATTATGCCATCTCTTCTGCCAAATAAGGGGAAGATAATTCATGAAATGAAAAGCAGACAGTACACAGAATCTGAACAATCCAATTGGTGGGGAAAAAAAATCCCCAAAAATCCACAGAACAAAAGCTTCAGTTTGCTATACAAAATCCCCTGCCCCCCACAAAAAACACACAGGATTTCTTCTCAAGGTGCATTAAAATGACGTCCTTTGAACTAAACTGTGTATCCTTTTTCCTACTGCAGTCTCATAAAAAATGATGGTTCCTAAGGGTCACGGACATTTTTGCTTTGGCACACTGCAAGATCGTGCTGCCTACAGGTGTTCAGAAAACACTACATTCAATGCTGATGTACATTACTGCTTCCAAGGAAAGAATGGGGAATAAGGAACTGGTTTGGGATTTAGTTGAATATGACTAGCTCTAAGAATGAGACATGCGCTATTTTGTCAGATTGGAGTGACGCCCAGAAGGTGACGCACAGTTTGCCAAAGGCTAAGAAAGCAACTCCACTTGGTCATCACATTTTCAAAGCACAATTTTGAGTCATGGAGTCATTTGGTAAATTCAAGGTGTAGAGAAAAATCAGGAGACTGGTTACAGAATGTTATTACTTCCCTATATCACAACTAGTGTTCCGCATTCTTGGTTTTTATTTAAAAAAAACTAAATCTGGGAATTTTTCTGGGTTTATCTCTGACACAAAAACCAGGATGAAATTGGGAAAAAGAGAAGAAAAAAAATGAAAAAAAACCAAATGGTTTAACCGGGGGGTGGGGGGGAATCAGAGAACACTTAGGCATAGTGGATAATGCTATAAT